CTTTTTTTTTAATAGGTATCCATGGAGTGGAGATGACTTTTTCTTTTTTTTTCTTTTTTAATTTTTATTTTCCAATTAGAGATGACGTTTAGTATTATTTTATATTAGTTTCAGGTATACAGCATAGCAGTTAGACATAAAACTACACTTGCTTTTAAGTGATTCTGCTAGTTTTGCGAGATTTCGTTTCGAGGTGATAATAAAAGTTGAATATCTTTTTAAAAAATAACACATCGTCCTCTTAAAATAAGTATGTAAAACCTGACTATCATTTTGAAAATAAATAGCCTTTCCATGTGCTTGATTTCTTAGAAACAGGCAAAACAAAATGGTCATTAATTCTATGAGACTAGTAGAGAATAATATGCCTCTCAGAAAGAAAAATATAAAAATTCAATTAAAAGAATTCAGATTTGTTTTAAAAAGTTTCCCTCATATGAAGGCAAATTCTCTATTTGGGTTCATTTTATCTTAAAAACATTTTCATAAAATATATTAGAACTACCTCATTTATATTTATCTTTTATTTGCAGTTTCTCATAGAAATGCAATTTGTGTGTATGTATTTAAATAATAAAGCCTAAAATTGATACAAGAACTACAAGTTGAATGAATCGGTATAGCCATATTACTTCTTAAAATTAAAAAAAAATATGGAAAACTAAATTTACCTTTTCTTTTTGGAGAAGAAAATCTCCCTTAATGTAGTGGGTTTTAAAATTTTATTTTTGCCATCAACAGATGGCAAAATGCTTAATATGCCTAGGAACCTTCAAATATAGTTTTTGAGTTTCTTTATGAATGTGTTATTGATTGCAGCTGGCTTATTGGAAACCTATTTCGTTTTTAACATTTTAACAAATGTGCAAAAGGAGTAGCTAGCCTTCGTTTCATAATTTATATTAGATTTTTTTTTTTTTACAGTTTATTTAAAAATAGTTTTTCTAAGAATTTTAAGGCTAATATTTTCTCCATGTACAGAGGTTTTATCTTTGGGGGAGGCAAGCAGTCCGTGTCATTATCTCCATGTCATTTCTCTGATCAGCTGTCTGTATGTTATTTTTATCTGCAAAACTATGTATTGCCTTCTCTATAACCAAAGCCAGTGACAGTCCGCAGAAGCCTTTCCCCAGAGATCAATTTCATTTTCTTTCCTGCATACCCAGTCTCATAAACTAAGAGCCCGAGCTACAGACCGATTTTGAATTTTGATCTCCCAGGTGGCAGCTTACGCCTCGCTCCATTATTAGGCTTATCAACTATTTTCTTCACCCGGACAGAAAAATCTTTTACTAGTGTAGATGCTCAGATGATTATTTGGAGAATATTGTATCTTACCGTTATTTGTGTTTTTCTTGCCTGTGATTGAAATTGGTACTTACCGTTTCGAAATGGAGCAGCATGAACTAGATTAAAACCACATGTGAGTACATCTGTTGCCAGCCTTCTGAAACATAGTGAAATAAAGATTCACGAAGTGGTATTATACTCAGTGCATAGTAGGAGAGACCTTTGAAAATTAAGGAACCTTTTACTCTTCCCCATGTGCGGAGGGAATGAAGGAATATAGATACAAACCGGTGGAATGGGAATGGAGGGCGACAGTACTGGAATAAAGAGATAAAAAACAGCGTGTGCAAATTATCAGGTGTGGATGGAGTAGAACAATCAACGATTTTGTAATAGTGGTTGACTATTTTATATCCTATATATTTGAAAATAATTTAACATCGAATTTGCTTCATTTCACTAGAAAGCCAAGTGAGACTGCAGGGTTACTAAGAGAACAGAAGCAATCTATACATCGTCAAACCATGATAGTTGTTCTTCACCTATTAATTAACGAAATTATGAGTCAGACTATCATCTTACTTTTCCCCAGAATATTGTGAAATTGGAATCTTTTTCTCTTCAAATTGGTTTAGAGTGTATCGTGCTTTCGATTTTTGGAAGAGAGGACTCAGTACATCCACCCTGATCCCTCTGAGTGTCAGACATTTTAGATACTTAATTCGAACCTAAGATGTAATGATTGCATTGAGAAATGTGAGTTGTTTAAAGTGCCAACCTTTTATACATCCCCAGGGTGCCCAAGAGGCCCATTGCGTATGTAGAGTGAGTAACGGGAGCGTGTGTCACAGGTAGACACGACTGCCTTTCTTGCTTCATGCATTCATTTAATAAGAATTTAAGAGTCGGATCTACTTCAGAAATGCTACGCATTTAATTCCTGACTGCCAAAGGTATCGTGACCTTGCATTTAAACACACTTTTGATATTGTTTTATTTATTTATTTACACATTAAATTTGGGGGCCCTTCCCTCCCCATTTTTCATTGCTGTGGGTTTGTTTGAAACAAATACATAAATGAGTGGGC